ACATTATTTTTGTTTAAATTATTTACATGCAAAGTTAACAATTCAGATTTATTATTTGATAATGTATTTGTATTTGAAGAAATATTATCTCTTGTACAATTATCATTCATATTAACATTTTCTTTGTCAATTTTAAATAAATTATCATTCTTTTTAAATGACATAATTTTTTTTGTTTTGGATTTATTTGTTTCTTTACATTTTGAATTATTTGGATTTAAATTAGGTTTTTTATTAGTAAAATTACACAATCCTTCTTTCAATTGAGTAACTTTATCAACATCATTTGCAACCATAGAAAAATATATATTATGTTTAAAATATTTATCTACATTATTATGATTATCAATAATATTCATATTTTTATTTTCAACTTGAATACAGGCAGATAAAGTATCATCCCCAAAAGATGGTATTTTATTGAAAGATTGCATTTTGTTATTTTTATATTACTTGAATAATGTATTTAAAAAATTCTATAACAAAGTTCATACAATTTCAATCTTTATAAATGGAATTTTTTTTATAATTTTTATACAATTTTCATTCATAATTTTCAAAATTTAATATATTATTTTATATCTTATATATATTATTTTATCTTGTTTTAATATAATATAATTAATCAACGTTATTAATATCAAATTTACAAATAAAGCAATTATATATTATAGTTTTTGTTTTATTCAATTCATTATTTAATAAATAATTATATAAATATAAATTTTTATTTATGTACAAAATTATCACTTGTAGTATAAATATAGCAAATGCTTCATTTCTTAAATTAAATCAAATATTTAATAAAAAATAATTGATTTATTGAATAAAAAATAGTAGGAAAATAATCCAAATTTTTCTTTCACAACATAATATCGATTTTATTATAAAATTTGATAAAAATCACATCTTAAACGACATTTAAAATACATGATTAACGTACGATTGCGCGTAGCGACATCACAATAAATATTTTTTTAAAAAATTTAAGTTTTATTATTAATTTATTAACATTTAATTCATATATAATATATCTTATAAAGAATATTTTTAATTATTCATATTAAATCCATTTATTTTATTTATTTAAATTATAAATAATTTGAATCATGGGATATTGCCTTAATTTTCCCTAGAAATAAGAGAAATTTATATATACATTTCAACTTAAAATAAAAAAAAATTATTATATCATATATATATTTAAACTTTAATTATATAATTATATGAATTGTATATACAATTAATTTTTTATAATTGGAAGTAAAATAAATATTTTTATAAGATGAAAATTTTAGATATTTTATAAATTTAAAAACTATAAAATATTTATAAATATTTATAATATTTATTAACATTTTGTTTAGTAATTATGTACATATATTTCAAAAATATATATTTTTTTTTTTAACATTGCATTAGAAATATTAGAAAATTGTTGAACTTGATGGAATATGCCCTCTAGCGAGAAATTTCTGAACGAATTTCATAAAATACATTAGATAATGAAAATGCATATGATAATTGCTTAGTATTTAAAATTATGTAACGTTACATTTAAAATTAAATATGCAGGAAATCATTATTCTCGATTTACAATTAACGAGAATAAAT